TATCCGCGCGCAAGAAAGTTAATCGAACGCCAATCCTCGAGATCCATTCCGACCCGTCTTCGCCATTTATCGGTTTATTCAGAAACCATAGAATTTCTCTCTCGTTTCCCTGGAGAAAAGAACGAGAGAGAGAGAGGGAGAGAAAGAGAGAGAGAGAGAGAGAGAGAGAGAGAGAGAGAGAGGCAGAGAGAGAGAGAGAGAGAGAGAGAGAGAGGGAGGAAAGAGCAAAAACAAAAGTGAATTCGGAAAAATAGGGATGGCGGAGCGGGAGACGAAACGGATGGATGGAGAAGGAGGGGGAGGAAAAAGGAAGGAAAAAATATGAAAAGCAATCAATTCCTTTTTAGTCGGCGAGCACAGCACAATGTTCCAGGACCGCGTGTACCGCGGTGTCGCTTGTGGCGATTTTAGATGCCTCGTGTGCGTTACACGTTGCCCGTGTATACTCGTGTATACGTGTGTTTTCTATGGCGCGCGTGTTGCATATTTAAAGCAGGGCGCAAGGATGGAATATAAAGTCCTTTGGAAAACGGGGATAGAAAAAAAAAAAATGAAAAATAAAAAAAGAAAAAAAAGAAGGGGGGAAAAAAGAAGGTGGCGCAACACGGTTGCGCAAGGGAGGAATTAATAAAGCAACGAGAGGACGCAACGTCACATGGTTCGTGTTTGGACGGGAAGAAAAGGGCGGGCGGAGGATGTGTCTCCCTTGCCCACGGTTATAATTCCGTTCCAACCGGGTGCAAACCCCTTCCTCCCTCACCTGAGAGAGAGCTTATGACTTTTATTCGGCCCTGTTCTAGCGGCGTTCTACCTTTCTAGCCGCAGCACCGGTCTTTCTCCAGGCCGGTCACGAACTGTCTCTGAATCGCAACAATTAAAGCAAAAAAGGACGCGTTCGAGGGGCGGTTGCGTGGACAACGCTCTTCCATTTTTCGATTTCCCTCCCTCCTCCCCCTCTTTTTTCTTTTTTCAATCTTTTTCGCGCACCCTTTCATTCGATTGCCGATGTTTGGCCACCGTTGCGCGAAGATGCATAGCCAAGTGGACGTACATACATCATATCACGGGTTATACAAGTTACAACAAGTTTGGTATCGTGAATTGGGGTTCAATTAAATTCACGAGTTGAACGAAATTATTAATTTTTCGCACGACGTTGCATTTATTTAATGCGTTTCGCCATTCTATGGATAGAATATTTCGAAATTTGATTATATTCTTAGACAGAGTATATATATATATGTATATATTTTAGAGGATCTTTATATTCCTCTATAAATAATAAACCATAAACGACGACAAAGCCAGTTCGATAAAGAGGTGAAAAAACAATTTCTTCCATCAAAACGTTCGACGATAAAATCGATAACCACGAAATTCGTCGTTTCTCTCTCTCTCTCTTTATATATATAGATATCGAGCTCGCTATCTCTTAACCTTTGGTGTCGCACAAACGGATTCTAAATTACACGGAAATTCAGTTCTCACTTGGACGCGAGGACGAGAGGAAAAATGCCGTTTCACCCGGGGAAATTCGCGTTGTGTCGCTCGAAACATAGAAAGGCAGCCACCAGGTTGCGCTTTAATAATTATTATCCATGGTCACGTGAGCATAATAACGTTGGCGTGTACCGCCTCGCTTTGATAATCGCACGTGCATCGCCTCTTTAAGTTCCACTTCCATTCAATCAACCCGGTCCTTGTTCGCTTCTTGAGCGAGGCGAAGCGAGCGGCCGATTAATTGGACGAATACCTCGAGGGTGAAGGAGGAGGATGGGGCGAGGGAAGGGAGGGTGAAAGAGGGAGGGGAAAAAAGAAGAAAAGAAATTAAAAAAAAAAAAAAAAAAAAAAGAAAGAAAAAAAAGAAGAAGAAAAGGAAAAAATAATCGCGTGCAGTAGGCGAATAATTAAGCGTTAATGTATCCTGTCGTCGGGGGTGTTTGCTTGCAGACTGACTAATCAACCCTTGCATGCTTCGTTTGCCTCTATTCAAGAAGGTGGAGTCGTGATTTCGCGACGCGACCTCTCACAAAGACCGAACCTGATACGCTCCCATTTTCCGTTTCCTCCTTAACTATTCGATCATCATCCCCTCGTTCTCCTCACTTTCCTTTCCATTGTCCTTTCAAACTCGATTCTCACGGTTAAAACTGTAAAAACTACTATTAGTCCAACTAAATATTAAACATTATTTGAAAGCGATGCATCGAATGAAAATCAATCGAATTGGAATCGAAATTTACGTATATTAAATATGTATTAAATAATACAGCTGCGTTTGAAATAAAAAAAAAAAAAAAATCATTTGAAAATCTTTCGAAACAATTTCGATTGAATTTTTTTTTTCTGTTATTTCCTTTTTGAAAATTGAAAATTCTTCTCTTCGAAATTAATACAATTCCATCACTTAAATAATAACACTTAATAAATAATAACACTTAACACATAATAAATAATACAAACACATAATATAATAATATAATATAATATATAATATAATAATATAACACATAATAAATAATAACACTTAAATAATACAGCTGCGTTTGAAATAAAAAAAAAAAAAATCATTTGAAAATCTTTCGAAACAATTTCGATTGAATTTTTTTTTTCTTCTGTTATTTCCTTTTTGAAAATTGAAATTTCTTCTCTTCGAAATTAATACAATTCCATCACTTAAATAATAACACTTAATAAATAATAACACTTAACACATAATAAATAATAACACTTAAATAATACAGCTGCGTTTGAAATAAAAAAAAAAATCATTTGAAAATCTTTCGAAACAATTTCGATTGAATTTTTTTTTTTTCTGTTATTTCCTCCCTGAACATTGAAATTTCTTCTCTTCGAAATTAATACAATTCCATCACTCTATCAAAATATCTTAAAAGGATGCGCTATACGGCTGTAAGAGTTTGAAACAATAAACCTTTCATAACCCTTTCATCTACTACATTCTCGTGTCCAATTTGCCGAGAAGATGCGCGGAAGGATTTTCGATACCATAAATATTAACAAATCCAGAGCGAGGAAGGATACATCCAGCTTAAGTCAACGCAGGAGAATCCGTTGCATCAAGGTTGCTCGCGTTCGGGATAGAAACGCGTGTTGATTTCGTAATGTTTTATTTAACCGGGTTGTGTTGCTTTCTCGTCGTGCTTAAAAAAAAAGGAAAGAAAAAAAAAAAAAAGAAAAAAATTCGCGTCTCTTCGCGGGCGGAAATACCTTTTATTCGTGTGCACATACGTCTTAAAGAGAGCGGTCGTGATATTTTCGATATTAGAAAAGTAGAGCTTCTTTAACGGTTTCAAGAATTTCGCCGGGAGCTTTTTAAATGGACAACGGCGAGAAAAGTCCCTTTGAACGACGATAGATCCCGCTTGAAAAATCTACTCGCGCAGTTCATTTGAACTCGCGATTCTCTTCTCCTCGCTTTTTTTTCGTGCTTGAAACGGTGTTATTTTCTCTCTCTCTCTCTCTTTTTTCTTTTTTTCGTTACATTTTCGTTTGTCGAGACGAAGAAAAGAGAGAGAAAGAAAAGAGAGCAGTGCGCAATGTCGATTTAGTTGAGTCGAACCTTCTTTTAATAATGTTTTGTGAACTTTGTGAAATTTTATGGGAAAGAGATCTTATTTAAGTAATCAGACGTAATCCTTCGTCAAAAAATTGATATATAGAAATATCTATCAACAGAAGTTACTTTGTCAATATAATGCAAATGGAATAATCATTTCCTCCATTTCTAAGTTCCAAGTCCATTATTATTTTTATTCTTCCAATAGAATTCGCGTTTTTCGAATGCTCTATTCTTCGCTCATATCCTGGAAAGACGGAAAAAACTTTCAAAAAATCTCGAATTAAATAAAAATTATATTTTTCCAATTAACAATTATTAAGAGGGGGTGAGGGAAAAAAAGAAATCGATGATAAAGATAAATAACGATTATCACGTGGAAAAAATTGGAGTTGGATGCCAGAAGTTAATAAATGCGTTCACGCATCGGCGCGAAAACGATACACGGAAAAATAAATTAATAAACTTCAATATTGTTGCCAATATTCCTCTTGCGTATCGCGCACACGAGGCAGAAGTAAAACATTCGTGAAACGGGCCGAGATAATAATTATGATTTACGGTCTGGTAGTTACAATTCCAGCATCGACGGCAAATTATGCCCGGGTTTTCGAAAATTTGCGCGCGCGCGCGCGGTCATCGTGCTCCCGAGATTTCGAAATGTTTTCAATGGAAGGAAATCAGCTTAACGCAACCTTTTACGCGCATTCAGCGCGATTAGCTCGTGGAAAAATTTATTTTCACGAAACGAATTTTGTAATATCAAATGTAGTTTGGAAATTTATTTATAACGGAATACACGAAGGTATTCGAATATTTTTGCATCTTTTGATGAAATTTTAATGAAAAATTTTTGATCCCTTTAATGAAATTTCGTGAGTAAAGGATTATGGATTATATACCAAGCGATTGTTTTTTTTTTTTTTTTTTTTTTTTTTTACCGAAATATTATTTGAAATTAAAGTTTCGATGTATTGTATTTTGTTTTTATTTTTTCTAAATGTAATTTTACCAATGATGCCAAATAGAGCAAGATTTTAAATTACAAATGTTTGGAATTTAATGTTTTGGGGGTAATTTGTATTTGGAATATACGTGATACCGATTGTATCTTCTATTTTGGATAATATTCAACAAATATCAAATGGTATTTGCTCGTGATTCAAGCGTTAAATAAATAATACTATATTTTTTAAACCACTTTTACAGAAATATCATTTCAATTTCCAATGTTTCGACTCAAACTATTTCAAATTTTCTTTTGTTTTTTAATGAATTATGCGAGTCGAATATTTTGTGCGAAAAGCATTCGAATATCAAAAATATTTTCATTTTACATACCCATCAATCGCAGAATAGAGAATACCGTGTTTTTAAAACTGGGCAAGAAAATTTGTATCTCCGCGTGATTTGCACTCACCTGTCGTAGTAGTAGTCCCTGAAATCAGAAAAAAATATTAAAAAAATTAGTGGGAGAATTTTTTAAAAAAATTATTCGCAATAATTAGCGAGTAAAATATTACTTCTTAAAATACAATTAATTTATACATCGTTCAATATTAACGAATTAAATCCTTAATTGTTTCCCTTCACATTTATCATATAATTTTCATAATAATTTTACGAAAGCTTTTCCCCCTTTCGAAGATATCCTGTTTAGGTATTTCGATCGAATATCTGGGGGAAACAAAAAGGCGGAAAATTCAATAAAAATCGATATGTCGTTTTTTATGCAGTCAAGCACAAAATAAACACACGAGCGCGGGAGAAATATAATATTTTTAAGCTTTCAAAAAATACGCAAATAGCGGGAACAAAGAGAAAAATGCACGATCATGTTTCGCGATGTCGAAACGAGGAACCGGTGGAATGACGACCGACAAACGTTTCAACGGACGTGATCAGAAATTACCACCACGTATGTACAATAGACGAAACATCAAACGAATTCCACGAAAATAGTAGAGAAAAAACAATTCGTGCATATTACTCGTTGAAAATAAAAAAAATATATCTATTCATTCCTTTCGAAAGTATCTATTTTTGATATTTCGTCTAAAGGTTCGATAAAAATTTGTGAGGAGGGAAAATAGAAAATTTCTATAGACATTATTACATGTATTATGTATATCTATATATATATATATATACAAAAAGAAATATTACTGTAAATAAAATATTAAATAACGAGATTTTAAGAAAACAAACAGACTGATTTAATTTTCTGTAAATATGTTAATTTTAACATTAGAATCTTTCCTTTTCAGAATCACTCTGATAAATAATATAAATTATTTCGATTTAATCAGTTTGATTTCAGATTTCTGTGGAAGGGAGGTTGACACGTTTTTAATTAATAACTCGTAAATAAAAACAACAAGAAATTAAATTCAGAAGGTAAACCGATTTAATTTAATTTTTCTAAAAATTTCTCAATTTCTCAATATCAGAATTACAGAATTCAATTCCTCTTTTCATCTAATATTCCGAGAATTAAAACGATCACGATACACCACGAATACAAACATTTTCTTATCAAATTCTAGAGGAACATTAAAAACTCTTCTTTCCATTTAAAATTCATAAAAGGAATAAAATAACGAGAACACGTCTCGCTTCGATGTATCGAACGCGTCATCATTTTATATACATACATTGCAACAACAATTGTGTTAAAGTTCAATTTCCATTAACGATCGAATCGAGAGACACAGTCACAGTTCAATCACTGTTTAGTGCTTCCTGATTCCAGAGGAAGCGCGCGCGATACTGTTCAGGTTCCAGTCACGTTCCAGTATAGTGAGTGATGTTTCAAAGGCGATCGAATCGTGACTAAACCGCCGCTCCAAGTCAAATCGAAGGTAGCGCGACATTTACCCCTTTTCTGCATTTGAAATTCGGTGATTTAAATGCATTCTGCTCGCATCTGCTCTTAAACGCCCGCGGTGGGCGAATTACTCGCACCTTCTCTCCACCAGAGATCTTCCATTTTCTACTTTTATACGTATTCAACAGTGCAAATGTTTGGTAAATAAGACGACATAGTTGCTCGAAATAATTTAATAAAATATTAAATAACATATGTAATTTAAATATATTTAATTTTGAAAATATCTTCAAAGATATTAAAAATGTTTGAAAAATTGATTCGAAAGGGATTGAATTTAGAATCTTTTTTACAAAACGAAAGATTAAACAAATTTGAGAGTTTGACAATTAGAAAAAGAAATATTTTCCATTTTATCAACACTGTTAAACGAATCGCAGCATGTCGTGCAACAGATGTTCTTAAATATCCAACCAAGTTCACCGAAATGGAAAAATCAAAGTTGACCCGGTGTCGGATCGGTTGAACGATGGATTCAACGACGCGAGTTCATTTATACGTCGCCCCGGTTATTGATTTGTTCGGGAAGGTTTTCGAAGAAATTGTACTACGACCAAATCGATCCCTTGCATCTTTTACGTTAATAGACCTCGCAGCTTTTATATTCTTCCAAGAAACGTGGATTGCAGAAATAGAATCGTACACTTCTCGATCGAACTTCTACTTTTTATTTTATATTTTTTTTCTTCTACAAAAACGTAACGTAATTTATCCACGATCGATTATTATTATTATTATTTCGTAATTTTGAACAATTTTCGAATCGTTTGCGAATATAATATATATATTCAATTTATTCCAAAAAGAGAAGAAAAGAAAAGATAATTAATTCGATTAATTCTGATTTCTTAATTTTGAAATTCAATCTTTTTCGCACGATGGAAATAAAAATCGTTTTTTTTTTCAATCAAAAATCCTCGAAAGATTTGCCATTATTTATAAGACAGTTAAATTCGTTTCACGCTACTTAAAGTTATCGTACGTTACCGTGGGATTACTGTGAATTACACAATTCTATGTATATGTAGGTGATAAAAGTAGAGGAACGGTTAAAAAGGAACGGTTAACGAAAGAAATGAAATGGAAAAAGGGATATAGGAATTTCAAATTGTCGGCTATTCTACATTTTAAAGAATCGAGAAATCGATAATGAAATTTTTATCTTTCATCATTTTGTCAATTACGTTTTTTCAAGTCAGTTGAAAAAATTTATGTAACCGTATTTACCGCAACGTAGATATTTTTAAATAATTATTGTAAACTATAGCGTTTCATTTAGTGAAAATTTCGACTCTCTATATTGAAGAAAGGTATATATTCGATATATACGAAGTATCAAATTTTGCGAGCAAGGCAAATACAATTAAAATGCTATTTTGCAAATTTCGATACACGTCATTTTATGTCATTATTACGGATAACTATACAATTTTAATCATTGAAAATTTCAGTTTTCTACGATGGAGAGCAATCAATATCAACGAAGTATCAAATTTTATCAGAAGCGATGTGAACGCAAATATAATTAAAACCCTATTTTGCAAATTTTTGATTATTATGGATAAGCGTAAAATTTTATTTATCAAATTGTGAAATATCGTATTTCGTCGACCACAGTGTGGAAATGGAAAAAAAATTTCTATTTCCATTATGAAACGTTGTAAAATGATCGGAAAGAAAGAAAAGAAAGAAAGAAAGAAAGAAAAAAAATTCGAATTATTTGATAATTATCGATATCGTTTCTCATAGTTTTTTAACAAAGCGTCTGATACGTGACAAGTTTATCGATAAATTAACTATTATTCACTTAACCGCAATACCTCTTTGAGGATGGGTCTGCGATTTAAGAGAAAATTGCCAATTACTTTACTCCTTGTAAGTACTCGAGGCTGATACATTCCGGGCATCGAGGCGTTACTTACACCGATACTTCGAGAGACGAACCAAATAAAAAAGTGGTGGACAAACCAGTTAAGAAATTAAAAACGAAGGAAATAAACCTCACCGTCTTCGAGCTCGAGATAAAATAACTAAACTAAATTTTTTTTTAAATTGAATTTAACAATTCAATCACCTCGAACACGAAGAGACGAACATGACATAGAAATTAAAAATTACAAATTTTCAAACAATATTGCAAAGTTCGATCGATGAAATGCGAAAGTTTCTAAATTTATATTTCTATTATTACAATTAACAAGTGAATTGAACTAACAAATCAATTACCTCGAAGATAAATAGAATATAGAGCAGAAAAAAAAAAGTAAAAAGGAAAAAAAAAAATATTTTCAAAATAAAAATATTGCAAAGTTTAATAATCAAAATTTACAATTAAATACTAACTAGCAATCCAATTAAAGATTAAAAAAAAAAGTACAAGAGAGATAAAAAAAAAAAAATAATTGAAAACATTTTCAAATGAAAATATTAGAAAAGTGTTTCCATATTCGTTTAACATTTCCACAATCGTCAAAAATAAAAAAAATAATTTTCTTTCTCGTCACATTTTTAAAATACATTTACATTGCCGCCCAACAAAACACTCGACTTGGCAAACGCCTCGTTCAGGTATTGGCCGACGTTTATCGATTTAATTGGTATACAAGGAAGAAAATTGCAGATAATGAAGAGTAGAAGGACGATAATCGAATTTGTGCAACGATCGACCGAACCGAAAAGTGTTTCGGTCAATAAACGGTCCATTAGTTGCTGTTTAAATACACGATTTCTGGCGTTGAAAGGGAGAGAGAGAGAGAGAGAGAGAAAGAGAGAGAGAGAGAGAAAGTGGAAGGGACGGTTGACCATGAAATGGCAACGAAAGGATCGACTTCAGGGAAAATTGCCAATTACTTTGATTGCCTCGCCCTCCGTTTGAAAACTCGTTTCTGTTTGGCAATACTCGCCAAGCCAATTTCTGTGTCCATCGAACATTAATGTAAAACGCCGATGAAAAACATCTTGCAAGACTTTCCAGATTAAAAAGAGAGGCGAATTTTCGCGCTAACTAATGGACCCTCCTTCCAAGAATTCCTTGAATGCTAAACGCTCGATTGAACGGGCGCGGCAAGTAATTTATTGGCGGATTTCCATAAGGTCGAGAGGCGAAATAAAAAGTAATTATTAATATTCTATTGGTTGCCGAGATAGTTTTGCGGAAAGAATGAAATGAATTTTGAAAAAGATGAAAGAAAGAGGGTTGTTCGAGTCGAACTTTTAAGCACAATTAATTCTTAAATTATTTAAGAGGGAATTAAAAATAAAAATTAGAACGTCTAAAATTTTCTACCTTCCTTCAATTTTCCTTTAAAGTATATATCTTTCGATATAATCAACACTAAAATATTTAGAAAGAGATATCATTGTTATTTAATATCGAAACCAAAATATTGTTTTATTTAAAAATTTCTTATTCTTCCTTCGAAAGATTTTTAAATCCATTCTTCTCAATTTAAAATTTTATTCCTAGAAAAATTATTGAAATCAGAAATTTAATAATGTCTAAAACTTTGGTTATTGACATCTTTTATTTTCTAACTTATTTATATTAAAAA